TATAAATAAAGAAAATGTATCGGTTGTATATCGATAATGTTACATGTTTAAATATATGTGCTTCTAGCCAGTACACAAATATCAACCAAAATATTATACATCGTATATGTACTGCCTTAGATAGGCGAATATATAGAAACATCAACAACATAGTTCAGTATAGTCTAGTGCTTCAAATAGCTATAACCTGAAGATAAATCCTAAAATTAACAACCTTTGTTAGCTTTCTATAAGTTTATGTAAAGTATAGTTTCTCTCAGTACTCTTCAGTAATATAACTTCTTATATTTGGTTCCTAGGTTCATATGGCTAGCGGCTGTTTCTTCATCTACCGCTTTAAAGTGGCTTCTTCTGTAATACCAAAATGACCAAATAAGTTATACACTTTCCAGCAGGGGCTTTTGTAACTTTTTTACAAATACATAAATCAAATTCTCTATGTAGGCGTGTTTGTGGTTAATGGCTAACAGTCTTTACGCACCGTTACGGAAATTTCCATTACAATATATCATTTTGAGAGCAATATTTAAAACAACTTCCGCAATATTTGCACAACATTGTCAGGTCACACGCCATTGAAAAATGTGAATATAAAAGTGGGCTGAGGACTGATTTTATATTCGAAAGCTATTCGAATACACACCCAAGAAGGGAAGTATAGATTTCTTTTCTTTTTGAGGTTCACCAGTAAAATTTAAGATTGCACCTGTTTTCCAACGCACCAAAAACAACAACAATACAATAAAAACTGCAAATCACTTTCAATCACAACAGTTAGTAGGAAAACGAAATGGTCGAGCACATCGATAGACCGTTTCCGTACGTGATGACAATCTTAGCATAAACACTTTTCCACGTTCGCACTTTTAAGCAGCCAGTTGCCAACGCCTGTCCACCATTGTGGCCTGCGCCCTACGGAGGCAAAAGACAACAAAAGGTTCAAGTGAAAGCGAAAAACGGAGCCCGCAATACTGCCGCCTTACCCTGTCGATGGGATGTCGTCGCAACCGCTTGTGGCCGAGACTTATTAAAAATCACTGTCAAGGCACTTGTGTATCCACACGCACACGCACGCATACAGCAACATACGACATGCAAAGCAAACATTTTGCTTTTGCTATTGACCCTTTTTCCAGTATTCCTTTGTCGCCTTCATTATTCATGGCATCGCTTCGACATGTGCACGTGTGGCTATGTAACTGTGTGTGTGAAGCATATGTATTTGTGTGTGTGTAAGTGTATGTGTGCCTTTATTGGTACAAGCGATTGTCATTTTAGTAAATAAAATATGCAAAGAACTTCCCTGAGCAATGCGGATCGCTATGTGACACCGAGTATGCGCCAACTATTTATGTGTGTGTTTGTGTGTTACGCGGCCCCTAAGGGTATTAAACTGTTACTACTTTATGTAGGTCAACTTAAACAAAATGTGTTTTTAATTTATTTTCCTTTTTCTCTTGTACATTTTGGGGTTTGTTTTGGTAATTTTAGCTCAATCCTTTCGGTTCTCTCTTCTTTGTTCGAGGTCAACAAAATAGTAAATGTGCAATTTATTGGGTTGCTAAACGTACATAAAAATAGAAAATTTCTGCATAAATATTTTATATCTGCACGCTAAGTTTTCAAGTGCCCCTAGACTTACGCCATAAAAATATAAAACAAAAAAACAATTATAAAACAAATACAGAAAAATGTCTGAATCATACAAATTCATGGTATTAAGAAGCCAAAAATTTTTGTGCAAATAATTACAAATGTACTGTAGTTGAGATTAGTGTATTAAGCATAATTTACCCAAAAATTTTCAAATTTTAATTCCTTTGTTAGCAGGGTTTTCATTTTATGTGGAATTCATAGGCAAAATGAAAAAGTGAAATGTGATTCCGTACAGTTTTTAGCAATTGGTTTTGGATTACTAATGAGCAATTTATATGTGTCACTAAATTTTAAATGACTTTTTAAAGACGAAATTTAGAGTTTTACAAATGAAATAAATAGTACCTCGTAACTGTTTTGAAACCACACGTGAACACACGAATACACATACAATCTATCACAACTTGGAGCTACTTATCACTTTGTCACACATCTGCTTTCACTCGCGCTCTAAACTTCATAAATAAGTTTAGTGTCTCATAATCGCTGGCAGCGTTTGGGTGAAGCGGTTGTTTGGGTTGTGCCTTCGCCGAAATTGTCCTTGTAACAGTTAAATTCCACGTGCGTACACACTCAAGGCTGCGAAGACACATTCGTTTGTCAATGCACGAAGACATTTTTGTTTGGTTTTTGTTGTCAAATTTTTGCCATTTAAATGCGTTTGTATATGGTAATTAAACTGCGTTTCTGAATCTGAATGTCGCAGAAGCGTTTTTGTTGGTAAGTTTATTGAAATATAAATAACCAGCAACTGAGAGGGAGATAGAAATTTCGCACCCTCTCTTTTGAAACTGTTTTTATTGGTATGAGTATATATGCTTATGTATATATTCTTATGTATAAACGGCTTTATACATGTTTGAGAGAAAAATTTTATTAAAATATTCGACTTTCCGAATGTCGTTTGATGATATTTACTTTAATATAGTATTTGAGTGTGACAACTCTTTTCCATATTATATTAACTGCACTTAAACTGCATCTAATTTTAGAAAACTAAAACTTATAGTTAATTTCTTTTATTTAAAAACTTAAATGTGTGGCAACTTCGTTCAGGAATTTTTTTTTTAATATTTATTTACTTATCTGCTTACTTAGATTCCAAAAATTAAAATAATAAACAATTATAATTACTTAAAATTTGGCAACCCTATTTGATATTGTAATAATTACACTTAAATTACACGTCATTTAACAAGCTAATAGCTGTTATGGTTATCTCTAATACTTAGAAATATTTTTTAAATATATGGCAACTCCGTTCAGGAAATGTTTTTTGTTATCATAAAAAAAAATTATTTATATATTTACTTGCATAAACGACTCAAACATTTATATAAAGTGTATATGAGTGGCAACCCTATTTCATATTAAATTAATTTCACTTAAGCGGCATATAAGTGTGGCAAACCTATAGTTATTACAGTTGTTATATTTTCTTAAAAATTGTTTTATAAAATATACGGCAACCCCGTTCAGAATATTTGTTTAATATCATTAAAAAAATATTTGTTTCATTATTTGCATATAAGACTCAAAAAATTAAAGTAAAAAGTATTTATTATTTTAAACCTTTTTTATTTTCAAAACTACCGATTTTCTACACTCCACTGTAAGAATATTTTAGTTTGCTAAATAACGTTTATTTGGAAATTACTGCTTAAATACAAACTTTTCCACCGTTTCTATTTACTGAGTTTTTGTTTTTGTTGCAAGTTCTAAATGACATTTCCCATTCAGTCGTGTCGTGGTTCCAACAACATACAAAAATACAGAAAAAACGAGTTGTGTACATATGGATATTGGTACTGCACCACAGCTGTTGCACATACATCACCACATACTTACAAACACACACACATGTTCATACCTTAAATGGCAAAGTGCTGAAGTTAATGAGAATGGAAAATGCGCATAAATTGGAATGAGGTAATTGAAAACGCAATGAGTCGGTTGAGGCCATGTGATGAGTGCAGAAAGCACAGTATAGAAGCGTTAAATTAATGTGTATGTGAGCAGCCTTACCAAGGTGTTATTAAGTAATACTTTTTACACATTACCGCGAAACTTATGTCTTAGGGAAAAAATAGGTTAATATTGTAGCTACAAATATACCTACATACATATGAATGTACGTATTGTATTGTTTGGATGTACATATGTACGTATATTAGAGCGGGTTGCTTTACTGTAAAAATTTGTTCGTCAGTTTTTGAGATATAAAAATGAAATTTGATACATAGGTGCATTTTGAGATTCTATTGATTATTTGTCAGAATCGGTCCGATCGGACAAATATCTCACATATCTCCCATACAACCGCTTATTCAGCTATTTTATATTCCGGTTGTCTGCCTTTAATAAAAAGGATAAGGGCACGCTCTAATGTATAACGTATACATATGTATACACATATCGATTAACTTGAAATTTTATACAAGGCTTCTTTATAAATTATACTGTCGTACTCGAGAGGATTTTTGTAAAATTTTCTTTTATATATTATAAAATTCCAAACCGCAAAAAAATGGGAATAACGAAACATATTTTTCAAACAGCCGCCATTTTTTTCCAAAATCCTCTCTTAGTGCTATAACTACATCCTTCCCCTTTAAGGAACACTCAACAATTTCCATTCCGGGTTACTGGGAGTACTGTTATCCTACACACCAGGACACGCCATTTTTTCCTCAGTCCCCACTTTGCCGACCTGGAATTTTTTTTCATTTTTTAATGTTAAAATTGATTTGTTCCCTTAAAATATCAAAAAGAATGTAAAAATATATAAATTTTTTTATTGGCTCAGAAAAGGAGTCTAAAATTCGGGCTTCTAAACCAGAATACCCATTTTAATTCAGCAGAGTTGCCATATTATGAGACAAAGAAAATTAATAAACATTTAATTTTAGAAGTTTTTCAAAAGCACTAGGTAAATATTTACTATGAAAACTAGTAGCGAGGAAATTTTTCTTTAGTACAGAAGGTTGCCATATTAGAATGACGAAAAAAATAGTATTTTAAACTACGTTGTTTGTATTTAGTTTCGTACAAATTTAACCAATTCAATTCTAATGGAAAATTTGCGGTACCCCGGTGAGTGAAACGCTTACAAAATATTAAGCTTTGTACCTCGGTAAACATACATACTAGTTCTATCTAATAATAATGGCACTAATAATAACAGTATTTGTAGCTGCAATAAAGATACACATTGGAACTTTTACCGTTAGGGAAGCATTTCCTGCAGTACTGCAGGAAAACACAATTTACGCACATCAACGCCTGTTTGCTTTCATAGCCCTCTCTCTCTCTCTCTCTCCCCGAACAATGCCATATACTGTAACAATAAAGCGAAAACCCGAAAATGCAACGACACAAACGGAAACAGCAGCCGAAACTTGAATGGTGAAACTGCACGAAACAAACATCTCATAAATTACAACAAAAAGTGTGCGAACAATAATAACAACAAAAATATTTAAGCAGATATGGCAATAAAAACACACACGAAATGCAAACGGAAGATGTGCTGCAGTAACAACAACAACACTAATACCAATAACGGTAGCAGCAACAATAGTAGCAGTAATAACGGTAGCAGCAACAACAACAATAACAGCAATAACAAGGTATGGTATGAATTGAATGAGCAACATTAAAAGTTTTACAATTGCGTAATGAGAATATGCTTTAGGACCTCGACACTATATCGCTACAAATAGCAAAAACAACAGCAATTCAGCAAGTACTAAATGTCGGTGCATGCAAAAAGAAGTGCAAGAAAACTTTATACTTTGAAACGTAAATGACGGTGAAAGAGGATTGCTAAAGAAGCGGAAGTCCCACCATAGAACTACAATACTGTTCACTATATATCAACCTATGCGTGTGTGTGTGTGCGCGTAAGTACATTATATTTTACAATTTTCAGCTCAACAGTATGGTGCTGTAGTGGTTATCAAAGTACGGTAGAAGAGGGAGAAGGTCTGTTTTAAGAAATCTGAAGTCACAGTGTTATCTTTCTTCAAGTATTTTATTTTAAAAATGTTTCATATTATTCCAATAGATGAGATCCTGGATAAAACATTAGATCGAGCAAATTAGTTACTTCAAATTCTTATAGTATTAATCTTAAGAAAACATCGATAATGTCTATAACATATCGGCAGACACCGTTAACTTCAACACCAACTGACTTGAGAGCGCAGCAGATGTTTTTATACATTAAGTATAATTACTTCAAGACTTTTATATTCAATTTCTTTTTGAAGTATATCCATCTCCTTCAGAAATCGTTAAAAAGAAGAGAGAGAGAGAAGTTGCTTCGACATTTTGTTGCAGTTGAGCTGTTTGTAAGGAAACAATGCATTGAAGCTTTGTTTAGGAATGTTTAAGAAATTTCAGTATCGATGTATTAAATGTATGAGCTAAGTATGCTATACTTTTTACTTGAACTAGGAGAAAGATTCATGAAAAGCTCAAAGTGCACCAAAATTAAAAAATTAATCTTTTGAAAACTAGTAAAATTTAAACTCTTATGTATTTATGAATTTTAATATCTCAAAAAAAAAAAATCGTTATACATTGAATATGAATAAATATTTAATAACACAAAAGCTATATAAATTGCTTTGAGCGAATCAAAAAATTATATGGAAGCTTTTAAATGACCGGACTGCGGAGGCTACATAGATTAAAATTTCGAAATAAAACTACTAAAAATTCACAGAATAGAATGTTTCCGTAAAACATTAATGTAGACGTTAAAAAAAAGTACAGTTATAGTGCTACATGATAACTTCATTGTTTTAATAGCTTTAACTTGAAAAGCTTACCCAAATATAACTTTTTTTAATTAGAAAAAATAAATTCAGTATACTTCGAAAATAAAGATTGAGTTCTACAGAAACGCGAAATTAATGCAGATTATTAAAATTTATCGATAACACATATTCAACAGTTTTGTTGTTATCGATAACTTTTTACGGAAAAACATCGACATGAAAAAATATTATTTTTTTTGTTATTGCGACATTAAATGATAGATGGACGCAATTGATTCATAACTTAATTCAGGCATTATTATTTTACAGATTTTTAATTATCGATAATTTCGATAAACTGTAAGTCTATTTCATAGCTAAATTGTTAGCAGTAAACGACAGATGGACCAAATTGATTCATAAGTTTCATTTTGCAAACATTTAATTATCGATAAATTTCGATAAGCATTAAGTCTATTTTATGATATTCGACAAATTTTATTTCAAAACTTTATACATAAATTACTATAATTAAGCTTGAATTTCTCAGAGATCGGAATAAATCTTACTAAATATGTGCAAAAAATCTCATCAAACGACACACCGTGCCATGTACGTGGCACAGTTCACGCCAGAGCTACGAGCAGGCCAACTTGCATGGAACAACAATTGCAGATGAGCTTAATTGACGTAAAGTTTCTGCACATTTACGCACGTTTGCCTCGTACGTTGCAATTATGGCATCGCACAAGCGGGCGCAGGGTCTTGCTACCAGAACTACCGTTCGCCGTGTTGGCAATGCCGGTGTAAAACAGAATTTACTTTTTACCTGTCTGTGTCGATTACTTACGAATATTTGCAGCTTTCAATTAAGCAGCGTGTGAGAAGAACTAGCAGCAGCCGAAGGAGTCGCGACGGCAACGATATCAAAACCAACTGGCAACAAAAGTTTCAACATTTTATGACCAAGTGCAAATGAGCGGGCCATCGCACGGACTCTCTGCTCCACAGCCTCCGCTGGCAGCGCAAAAACTACGGGCTAGTACAAATTCATGCAATAAAGTTGTATTTATTCGGTTGAAGGGATGTAATTTCATTTAAGCGAACAACTGCCGTAAACTGCTTAAGTGACTTGCCAAGGCGAAATGCATAATACGCCACGCGAAGGAGCGAAAATCAAATATGTGGCTTTATGAATACTTGTATGACAGACAGTGAGAGGGTGTAAGAGAGAGAGAGAGAAAGAAAGAGTTATCAGGCGAGCGTAAGCGTATTAGTGTGTGTAAGAAGTGCACTGGAGCGCCACGAAGACAAGCGAGAATATCAGCTATTACCGCTACTTTTGTGATTTTTTGTACCGCTTTAATGCAAGATTATTTTAAGCGACATTTCGATATGTTTGTGTGTGTGTCCGTGTACATCCCACGGTTATAGTAAAAATTAACTAGAATTTAGAATTTTGTTACTTTATTAAGAAAACTTTCCCTCCGTAAACTGGTTTAATTGGCACCAATGTAAACTATACTGTTTGACGTTGCCAACCGTTATTGTCGCCGCAGAGTTGTGGGCATAGATATGCAATTTGGGTGACTATGGTTTTTTTTATGCTATGGTTTCTCTTCAATTTTGTTACATCATAATTATTATGTGTCCTCAAATCACAGCTGAGGTTGTGTATTTTGCTTTTTAAAATGTCAAAATAGTGTGTTTGTTGTAAAGTTTTGACCGTCTAAAGAGTAAAGGCAGAAACAAACTACATATATTGTTTAGTTTATTTTTTCGAGTTCCCATTAAATTTGATATTTATATTTACAAACGACTGTTATTCATAAATAGGTAGAGTTGCCATACAGTTTACCAACAAAAACAAGAAGTATATATTTATTTTTGTTTCGAAAATTTTCCAAAATAAAATCATTGAAGGCACTGAAGACCATCCCAGCCGAGGCTTACAACAGGTGTGTGGGAAATTGGATCAAACTTTGGCATGTTTTTATTGACTCAGGAGCCTACTTTGAAGGCTATTTATAGAGATTTGTATTGAAATTTGAGAAATGTAATTGTTTTTTATCACTCTGAGTCATTTCTGATCAGATGATATTATTTGTGAGCATTGCCACATATTAATTTTGATAAAAAAGGGAGCAAGCTATAAATATATTATTTGAAATGAATGTGTTTAGTTAAGTATTTAAAATGTTTGTTATTACAAGCAAGAGTACAAACTTATAGCTTAGTCTAACTAAGTGACATTTATGAACAAATAAAGCGCCTATATTACGCTGGGCGCTCAAATTATACTTTTTTCCAAGGTCTTGTCTTTTATACAAATTTACCGAATTTCTTTATATCTACTCTATTTATATACTTTATTTCAATTCATAAGTAAAATAATATTTCGTAAATAAATGTTTTGCCTGACAGCCAGCCACTTTCCAGCTAATTGTGGTTACAATTTACAACACCAAAATCCTTGGTTTTTGCCCGGTGAACGTGCATATGTTTATTTACCCAAGCTTAGTGTAGGATTTCAATTGCGTTGTCTGGCTTTGTTTAGCGAGGAAGCCAAACTTTTGCAGATTTTCATAATCTACCGACCAACTTCTTGCAATGCATGACGTCTCACAGCCATTATATTCTATACATTAAGCTTAGAATTTTAACATTTTACTTTATTTAATTTTCATGCTTACAAACTTTTGCCTTGACGTTTAAGTGGAATACGCGCGAAAGAAACGAGACAAAAAAAAATACTAGAGATGAGAAAGTTGTACAGCAAATGTCTAAAGAGGATCACTGGGGCCTTGGAGACATATTTTTGACAGTTACAGCTTTGATTTGATTTGCGACTTTACTTTTCAGTATTACGCCCAATTGTAGGCAATGTTTTGCTAGTGGACGACGTCATTAAAACATTACCTCCATTTAGGCATTTACGTAGAAAAGATTAAAAAGTTTAGCTATTGTTTAATATATTTCAAAGTAAGCTTTAAATATATAACTTACAATGTAAATATGTATATCAATTCTCTGATTAAATATTATGCATACATATGAACCTCGAAATTCTTTTTGCTTTTAAATATTATATATCGAGGATACATGCACATATATTTAAAAACATTATTTAAAAATTTTGTAGTTGAACCGGCAAATAGTTTCAGAGATATGAGCAGATTGATAAGCATTTTTTAATTTAGTGTAATCGCTTCGCAAAAATGTAAACGCGTTTTTTTCGAAACGCTGTATTTAGAGGTGAGTGACGGTGAGACACATTTCTAAGTAACGCCTGGACCGATCAACTTGAAATTTATGCACAACCTTCTTTAATATTTTTGTTTTTTACGAAAAACGAAAAACTTTTCTTGGGGAAGCCGCCATTTCTGTCAAAAATCAAAATTTTGCCTAGCCCTACAATCGTTACCTGCATTCGTTTATTATAATAATAAAAGTAAATTTTTTCTTTCTAAAGTCGTGACAATTTTAAGCAGAACCTTTTTTCGGCAGTTTCCTGGAGATCCCTTACAGGTTCAAGTAAATCCAATATTTTTCAATATAAAGCACCGACTATTAAAGTACATTAAATTCTGTAAATGTGCATTATTTTTATTTTTTTATTATATGAAATGCCTATTCCGAAAAAAATTCACAAAAAAATGCAATTTTGCTAGCTCTCTAATGGATATAACCCCATAAGTAGTCAGTAACAGCTGGTGGGTATACTAGGTTCGCTTGCAGATTGTATATGTAGTTCTTAGTTAGGGAGGCTTCAGTAATTCATAATCATATTTATTAAGTGAACAAGATTAAATGGTCCTCAGATAGATCAACGGGAGAAGAGTCAGCCATCAAGGATTAAGGCACAAAATATATTTATGAAGTGTTATGATATATAATCCAGAGCAAAAAACTTGTCAACTCTTCAAGCAAACAAAATAATCCTCCCAGCGGAATCTCTGCTGTGCCAATGGCTTCCACTGCCACGTCGACTGCCTGTTGCTGACTGCTCAGCGCTTTTTGGCGGTAGTTGTCGCCACATTTCAAAAGTGATTTTCTCGAGCAACCGACATATGTGTGTATGCGTGTGCGCTGCAAAAGTGGCTTTTGCGGCACAGATTTGTTGCATTATAATTTGCCAACTCATTTGTTGCAATTTTTCACGTCTGCCACTGCCACAGCATAAGCAGTTGCGGCATGTTGCTTAAGA